ACTATACAGTTCAGCCTTAGTATTTCTGTGCTCATTGCAGTGGAATACTTGGAGGCCTTGAAAACAACTTGTGTGTTCACTGCACACGTAGCTATGGGAGTGCTTATTAGCTCATGTACCCGCATTTGCCTTCCACTGGTTGGGTGGTGTTCTGCCAGCCATGCAGCAGCATGGACCTTTGCTCTGTTAAATGCCCGGGTGCTTACTGCTGTCCTGAGCAGCACTGTGCGCTGCCTGTGCTTTCCCATAGGCAGTCCGCAGTGGTTGAGGCTCAGTTTGGGGACGTTTGCAGGAGTTTCAGTACCAACAGGTTAACTGAAGCATGGAAGAACATTACAAAGGTCGTTGAGAACAAGATGGATGCTGTAGTGAATCTTTAAGCTCTAGGACTATGGTTTGAAATGTGAAGAGTTTAGTGACTATATTTTTTTTTTTGTAATAAGATTTCTTTGAGTCAATCTGACATTATAAATCAACTTTAGAGCAGTTTTAAGGTTGAACTCCAACTTTTAGCTAATATATGCTTAGTTCCGCTTAAAGATCTTGCTTTCCATCACTCATAGTGATGAGTGTCATGAAAATAACAATTCAGCTTTAACTGCCTTATAGAAGTAATTGTATAAAAAAATTGTATAAAAAAAGTATATATTCTGCATTTTCTGAATAATTTCTATGTAGCATTGCTGTCCCAGTGCTAATACGAAATACCTCCATTCTTACTGGTGAACATCTTCAAAATTAAGCTTTAGAGTGAGACCCGTGAAATCCACCTTTTGGTAATGCATAAAGGAGGGAGACAGAAGGGTGATCATCCCTTCGATATTGACATCCAGGATGTGTTGGAGAGAGAAGTGAGAGATGTGATATAACAGATTTTATTTAAGCACTTGATAAACAGAAACTTTGTAAAATGTTCTCAGATCAAGTTGCTTGAATGTGATCACCCTAGTGTACAATGAAAAATCATCATTCAGTAAGGGTATTTGGCACTGTGCTATATAAATAAAAGTCTACTCTTTTCAAGTATTTCCAAGCCATGTTTGTTTCATTCTTGAACAGAAATTATTGGGAGATAAAGACCTTTTGGGGCTAATGTGGAACACAATGAGACATCTCCGAGCCAAAAAACAAGTTCTCTATATTCTAGAAAAGAGGATGAAGATTCCCAAACAGGAAAGTTGTTGAAACATGGAGGAAAATTAGGGCAAAAATATGAACAGCGGCAAGAAAACCAAAATGCCTGCAAAACTGGAGATAATGAAATGACAGGAAAAGCATTGATGAAATATAGAAGATTTGAAGAAAAATATATGTTTAAAAAAAAGTTGGAAGGTTTGTGTTAACAGTAATTTAAAAGACTGTCCATCCTGCTAGACTGAGAGAGAACTGGTTTGGCAGCTTTTCTAAATTTATTACAGGTGTCTGTAGGTCTGCTGAAAGTGATCTTTCTTCAGGTTTCTCCAATGCCTCACAATTGCATAGAATAGTTTAAGAGAGCAAAGAGAGGTACTATCAGGAATAGTCTGTACTTCTAAGAGATGAAGGGTAAACTTGGTATCAGAAATGCTTTTGTCTGAGGTAAACTTGTATGCATTTAAAGTGTATCCCACGAGGAACAAGTACAGCAGAAAGCCATTGTGCTCTAGAGGTGGGAAGTGGAGTTACTGAAATCAAGAACATTTTCACGTTCTTCTATGCAAAAGCCTTCAGTGGGATTTTATGAGCATCCAGTTCATGACAAGAACGCTTCAGATATCTTGTAAGACCTCACAATATCAGATTACACCTAAGAAGGGGAGACAAGCTGTTTCTCTGGGCTCTGTGCCAGTGTATGTGTGAATCTGTTTCTCTGTGTTGTCAGTCCTCTCTACTATCTGATAGAAATACTTGTGTTTTTCTTGCGTTTCACTCCTGTTTTCTTGTTTTCTGGGTTCTTCAGCTTACAAGTAAGCAAAACTGACTGTCTTCTTCCAGTCATCTGCGTTTGTGTCTTAACTTGGGTGAATCTGAACATAAGGGCTAAGCAGATGAAAATGAGGGATTAACTTGATGTACATCCTTACCTAGTTCTAAATCTATGAGACAAAACGCACTGTGATTTATTTGAGCCCAGCTGTATTGCTATGTCTGTCCAAGTTTGTTGCCTGGAATGTTTTATTTTTTGTTCAGTACTTTCCAAATGCATTCTATAGGGAATGAAAGAACTTTCGAGTGTAACTGTTCGTATATGGAAACAGAAAAGCAAGTAAATAAGCATTGCAGGACCTCCTAAAAAATGAGTATCCTAAAAATATGGTCAAGAAGGGAAAGGAGCTAATAAAGAAAAAAACTGATGAAGATATTCCTGTCTGAGAGGGTCAGAGGGGTTTATATTTCACTGAAAATCATAGTTCTATATGATCCAGGAGGTTATACTAGCAGGATGTAAATATTTACAGCAGTATGATATTTTAGAGTAACAACTTTCTTTGTGTGGAATGTTGACTTACAGGTCAAAGAAAAAAATACTTAGACATATAGCAGATTAGTGAACATGCATTAATTTATCATTTTTATAAGGAAAAGTGAAAGATGGGATGTTTTGTTATAGTTGGCTTCATTGGATTGTAACCACATGTTCTAGAAATGAGTGTTTAAAAATATTGCATGTAGCTCTTTTACATGTTTCTAAGTTACAGATATGACCTTTTCATATTATGAAATATAATCTTAGTTTTCCTCAGTATTTGACTTTTTTCTTTGATTAAAATCCCAAGGTGGAATGAATGTACTGTGTTACTGAAATTAATCTGTTTAAGCCTGAAATTGCTGGAGGTATGTTGGCATGCCAACTGTAGGCAAACGCTAGAGATGGCCCTGATTTGAGGAAAAGTGTGTCAAAGTAGCTTAGCAGGACAAGTAGATGTAGGAGACAATTTGTAGTAGTTACCTTGTGCTCTCAGAGCCAAAATTTGCTGTGTTTCTGCTTCAGTGCTCTCAGTGGGGGATACCTTTGAGTTTTGCTGGGAAGATAGTTAAAGTGGTTTCACACAACTGTTGATTTCTGTTGTGATGACATTCGTTTCATTCATTGTGCATGTTGATAAAGTGTGTGTGTATGTATGTACACTGATGTGTGTACATATATACATATGTATAAATGTAAAGGGTATTTTATTCTAAAGCTAGTCTGTTGTCTAGAACAAAAAGGTACTGTTTTGGGAGATGCTGAGTGCTTCTTCTGAATAACATTTTTAGTTAAAGGGCCTTATTATACTACTAAAATTACTTCTGAAGTCTTTTATTGGTTTTCAGTTAGATTTTCTTGTATCTCCTTGCATAGGTTAGCATCAGTAGTAAATACTGAATAAAGAAGTAGAATTCAAAGGTAAGATTGAATTTTTTGCCTGTTTGAGGGCCATATTTTTAGGTATTTGTATCTTATAAGTTCCTTCACTAATTTTATAGGAAAGCACTGCATCTGATGCTTTTTATCAGTTGTTAGCTTAATGGAGAGGTGTATAATTCTGTTCTTGGTTGTATCAGAATAAATACTGCACTTCTAGTGGCTCTATTTTCAGCAAATTGATGTGTGGGTTTGTTTTTTTCAGTTTAACCAAAGCAGAATCATCTCCTTATGGCTCTAGACAACTTCACAGTTTCAGTGAAGAAACTTGCACCATTCTGTGAGTCTTGGATATTTTAAAAAATCCAATCTTTTTCAAAATAGTGTGAAGAAGTTTTGAAAAATAAATGCTTTCTTATTCCAATTTAGTAACATGCTGTCACTGCACGAACACAAAGACTAGCTTCTACATAGGAGTAAATGAAAATCTGCCCTTTTGGATGCCTTTTTCCAGCCTTGTTTTTGGCTTCTGTGACCCCCAAAAGTATAAAAAGCTAAAAGTTCAACATAGATTGTCAGAAAAGATGATACTGGAATGAAGAAATTACTGTAGACCATAACAAGGTTTTATTTAGAATATGTTTTTCACAATTTTCATGCCAGGTATTCTTCAGAAAAAAAATTAAGATGCAGAAAAAAATTACAGGAGATAATACCCAACACACAAACCAGACAAAAAATATTGTCTGGAACCTCCTGTCAGCTGAAGTCGTATGACTCAGCATGATATTACCTATTCGGAGTATATTTTAAAACCAAATAAAGAAAATACTTGTGTAAAAACCAGTATTGGTAAAATCTGAACAGAACTGATGCCCATTCTAAGCAGAAGGATCCTCTCTGTTCCCTCATCTGTTTGAATTCCGTTTTTTCTGTGGTGAACGTATTCAGAAGTGTTTCAAGGTGTTAGATATATGGCCGAGTGTAACAAGAATTACAGAAAAAAGCAGTGCATGTGGGCATTTACGGTATCGTGTGAGACTTCAGAAGCCAATACGTAAGATATGAGACGTCATCCTGAATAAACTGTGTTTTTGTTGTGTTACTGGGTGGTGTGCTTGCGAGTGCAAATGCCTTAACTAAGCTTTCATCACTGGACAGGTGCTTTTGTTATTCATGTTTCTTCCTTTTTTTTCTTTTTTTTTTTTCTTTTTGACCTGGACAATGCAATACCACTTCTGTAATATGTTCAGGTATAAAGAAGATGATTGTTATTTTTGGAAGTAAAATGGGTGTGTTTTTCTTATATAAAAGGTCTCAGTTCTCACTTGAATAAGTGTCTCTGATCATTGATGGTTAGCTGTAGTTAATATCTGTTAACTCTAAATGTTTGTCATTCTTGCTGCTTCTCAGAAGGCTACTTCTCTCTGGTGCTGTTTTTAGGTTCAAAAAGATCAATTCATATACTTTTTCAACACAATCAATCATGCAAATGGAGAATATGGGAGTTTTTTGCATGACTTTTAGGGACGTAGATTTCAAAGGCTTCTTACCTGTTGTATTCTTGTTTGCCCAGACCCAATGAGCTGAGTGGGACCTGAGAGCAGCATACAGAGTAACCTTAGGGCAGAAAAACCTGGCAGCCTTATTTCAGAGGCCATAGGGTACACGGAGGATGGCTTCTCCTCCAGCAGCTGATCCGTAATTGTGGATCCAGGGTCCAGGCCCTGTCAGGGAAGAAGCCCTGAGCCTGCCAAGCTGCTCCAAGCCAGCAAGCCAGGGCACTGGAGGGGCTGGGAACCTCTGCTGTGGGCATGACTTGCTGGCTGCGGAGGGCTGTTCCTTGCCAAGGGCTTGGATTTGGGATGTTGCAGAGGCATACACCTTGGGATTGTTGCCACCTGGCCCCCAACAGCCTTTGTCCTTGTACCCAGAGCTATGCTGTGGCTTTTGGTATACTGGAGATGCTCCTCCACCTGCAGTGCCTGGTACCCTTGTGGGTCAGCAGCAGGTTAACAGCTGGGGACCAACCATGCTGCTGCACCGCATTTTTTTTTTCTTCTGGGAGAGAGGTGGCGAAAGAAAGTTGTAATTGCACTTAACATAACCCCTCTTCTCAAATGTACCAATTTTAAAGTGGCTATTTGTTATTCATGTCATTTATTTTTGTTATTAGAAGACAGAAGCATGTTAGTAAAACCATGAATGACATGTTTACTTATTGTAGGTATTGATTGCTTTCACTTTGTGACAGGTCTGAAATGCACACACTTGAGAAGATTCAAGTAGACTTTATGCACTCGACATGTTCAACTGAATCGCAAAGGTCTACGAATTTGTTCAGGAAATTAGTTGAACACGACGTGTCTGAAAGCGCTGTTCTTTTGTTACATGTATTATAGTGCTGGGTTATTAACTGAAAAACAATATCGACATCAAAAATGCAGTAGGGGATTTGTGTGAGATTGGCCTTTTGTCCTGCAAGCTGTGGCGGAAGCAGAAGTGTGAATAAAACTGCAGAGAAAGGAGTGTTGAGCGTAGTCTGGTAATCAAATGTTCTGTTATATTTGACACTTGCCATGTGAGTAGGGCTGAAAGTCAAGTGCCTGCGATCAGCAGAGGAGTGTAGATGCATTTTCATTATAAATTAAATAGTTTAATTTTATTTGGTTGTGTTTTGTTGTGGTTTTTCAAATTATGTTAGGCCCTTTCCTGGCAGGCTGAGGTATTTTGTGATGGTTTTAAAAGGGCACATGTTTTGTGCATTGCGAGAGGGCAGGTGCGGCTCCGATAGGACCTGGCAGTCCAGGCGAACCCTTGTCAACCTCTTCACTCTGATTCAGATTTGACATGTCTTTTTTAGGATTTTAGCCATGTATTTTCAGGCTGTCTCATACTTGGGAGCAGCTTCCCATAGACTCAGCTGCTTCGCCACTTGTCGTCAGCCCTCCTTACAGTGCTCTGGTCTTCTCATACGTTTAAGAAGAAGGAATTTAAAAAAAAAAAAAAACAAAAAAAAAAAAACAAAAGAAAAAAATGTTATTTTGCTGAGGAGGGTGTGTGTGCCACTTCCAGTAGAGCTGTCTTACTAATTTTTTCCCTATCTCGTAAGTTTTCTTTTGTCCTCTGTCCATATCAATCTCTTAGGACTTCCTCCACCCACCTATATATTCACATTTTATTTTTTTGCCTTCTCAGTACACGTTGGGAGAGCTTATTCTATAAACGGTGTTTGTAGACAATAATGATGAAAAAATTTAGTAACATCCATATTCCTTAGGATAAAGATTCTTCACCGCATTGTAACATCATACTAGAGGACAACTGACAAGCCTTGCTTACTTAATTTTTGAGGTGTGTTTTTTTTTTTTTGTAAGGCTAAAATCCTCACTTGGTAAGATCCTCACTTGGGCTTGCTGTTTCATAAGGGGTTGTGGTCATTTGGAAAATCTTGTTGAAGCTGTAATGGGAAATTAATTTATTTTCAATTGCTGCATTTTTCTTTCGTTTTCTATTGCAGCAGAAACTTTTTCAGAGATTAAAATATTACTGAATGCATTAGATCAAATTCTATGCATTTTCTCATCCATGAGATTAGTCACATTAGGCAAGGTGCAGTAGATACCTTGTGAATAATCTGATACTATCTCCAGATAATGTTTACAGGTAATGAGAAATGCATGGGAGTATTTGACAGTGACTTTAAAATTGTTTCAATAAAGCCTATAATATTAATAACGTATTGAGAAAGACAGCGATAAACTAGGCAAATTTGTATCACTTTTTAAAATGTTCTAAAATACATAAATCCTATATATATGAATACGAGTCTTATTATTAAATTCTGTGTATTCAGATTAAATGTTTTAGATCCTGCTGGTTTACATTTAAATTGTCATGTAGCAAGATTCATAGATGCTATAAATCTAAAGCAATTTTTTCAGTCCAAGAGGGAGGAGAGGGTTGGAAGAAAAAGCAATGATTTCATCAGTAGCTTTACTATTCAACTCTGTAACAGGCATTCTACATCTGCTTATCATTCAAAGAAATACCAAAAGATGAACGGATAGTTCATTCATTATATGGTGCCAGCAGGGAGTCACCTTGTTCAAATAATCTGACTGCTAGTGTCCACTTGGCAAAAATCCAAGTTTTGCGTGATGATCCTTAGATTTTTGTGTATGTATGCATTTTTAACTGAAGCATCATTACCCCTTAGGGACAAAGGATAAAAAGGAAATAATGCTGTAAAATACTGAATCTTCAGTGGGTGCTGAAAGTGCTTTGTGGCAACAGGTCCACTAATTGTTTTACAAAAGAGAGAATGAATACATGTTGGTGACTTAACACCAATGATTACAGTAAATCCTGGCATCTCTTAGGAAAATACCAAGAGGTATACCAAAGCAAGGTATTCTTGCATTATATCAAGGTTGTTGGATCTAGCCTTCTGATGAAAGAATGTGAAATCTGTAGGAGAGGCTTCTCTGACAATTACAGGCATTCCTTCATTTAAATTCTGGCTCCAGAAGGTTATAACTACTCTTCTTTGGTAATCTGTGTTTTACTTGTTACTGCTGAGACTTTTTGGTACTTTAATGTGTGTGAGACTAAAGGTGTAAATACTCTGTTCTTAAAGTCCCAACTCATTACTGTGTTTTGATGAACAGCATTTGGAACAAAAAAATTCTGCCTTCAAAATGGTTTTGCTCAGTCATTCTGCAGTAGAGTGAGCACTTAGTCGTTCAGATAATACTATATAATGACAAAGAGAAGTTCGATAGAGGCTGTTAGCATGGATTTAGGTTATTGGATACAAAGGAAGTATCTAGAAACAGAGGCTGAAAGCTCCTTTGTGACCTCTCTGTGATTCTGTACAGCCATGTAAAACAGACCTGTAAAGAGCAACAGGGACACGCTGCAGAGTGACCATGTCAAGGGCTGCAGCCATATGTGTAGGGAGCTGAACAACAAACTGAAGTTCTAGGTGCTTGGCTTTCTTTTTTTGTTCTAGGTCGGTAGGCAGATTTTTAGTGATAACGTTGCCTGCGGTGTTGTGAATGGTACACTGGCAGACTCGAAAGGTAATAAAGTGATAGCTGAACAAGTTAAAAAGTTCTTCTAGTGTCTTCTTTCAGTATTTTGAAAGGTCTAGCTTCAGAAAAGTTTAATCTATCCTGTTAATTGTGAAATATTTAGAAAGAAGGTGTGGATTTCTTATAAATGATACTTTTATATCCTTGATACAATTTGCTGCTTAGTATTAAAAATGTGTCAAAACTTGTCTTGGTGGAAAAGAATTTGTATGCATAGTTTATGAGCATGTATTTACACCTGGACCGCTTCTGATATCCAAGTCAATGAGCAGGTCCAAACAGCGTTTCTGTTTCTACTCTTTTTTTGTCTACGGTAATTATACCACTGAAGCGTATTTATTCCCAAAATTACTCTGACATGAGCTTCTAATGTAGGATGAGAAATGTGTGCTCCTTTATCACAAGCTGGTTAAAGTTGTGTCATTGCTTAACCTTGAAAATGAAGCAGCTCTCCTCAACTGGCAAAATGAAGATTTCACACTTGTTTCTAACACTGAACCATGCTCAGGCATTGCACCTTAAAATGAAAAACCTATTGTGCACGTACAAGATTTTAGATTCTGTTTATAGGAATCCAACAGTTGCTATTTTTTTCAGTCTTCAGGGCTGGCTTTGCAGGTAGGAAGGTGAAGAAGGCACTAGCAAAACATGTGCTTGTATCTGAAATATTCCTAATTTATTTTTCTCCTGGTAGTCAGTAGAGTGTCTACAGAATGTTGTACAACAAGAGATTTTTATGCAGTAGAAATGAAAGATTTTTTTTTTACTTGATTGTAATGATCTGTACATAATGTTACTCTTGATCTTTGATCAATGTAAGTATCTAAACTGCCTGAATGCTTACAAGACCTAAGATAGTGCATAAGCTGACATTTTTAGTAATTCAAACACAGTGCTTTAATATATCAGTGAAATACCTTTTCCCCTTTTGGGACTTGAGAGAAAGGACAGGTTGGTTTGTGCTAGAGGGTGCTCCATGGAATTTCTGGTCTTCTGCTGCTGCTCTGGATAGTTTTGGTGTCACAGCTGAAATCAGTGGGCTAAATTTTTCATCCAGAGGTTCTACATTGAAGTTTGGGTATGCTGTTGCTGTCTTTTTTGGATGTGACCTTTGGAGAGTGCTCTACCATTTTGAAGTCACCCATAGAAATTAAAATTCGAGGACAACTGAGTGGTGTAAGTAAAAGAAGAAAGGTCATGTCATATAGCAGTTCAGCTGGGAATCTGAGTATATGGTATTCAGCCTCTAGATTACTGATGACAGTGGAGGAGTATTTTTTTTGGTGTGAGCAGACAGAGAATTACACCTTGGTTTAGCTGTATCAGTTGGGAGTGTGAGTGAAAAGAGCACAGTTGGTACTGATGTGCAGGCACCAGGAATCCTGCAGAGGAAGGTCCCTTGTCTGATTGCTTAAACTTGACCTTTCAGTTCGGAATGGACTGTGTTAGACGCTTAGTTATTTCCCAATTAAATTAGAAGACTGAATTAGTCTATATAATAAGATTTGAGGCGGCTAAATGTAAAACACTACAGCAACGCAAAGATGGCATTACTGAAATTGCCTTTTGAGTGATATGACTGACACATACCTCCTTCCTTGCCTTGCAGGAGGGGGGAGAAGGGGGTGCTGAGGAGTAGCTCATGGTGACGGTTTCTTGGGTGGAACCGAGTTGCTTTCAGCCACGTGCAGCTCACAAGGTACCAATGGTGCCTAGTCAGGCACTGTGCTTGGATAAGGTCAGAGGAATGGCCAGGTGGAAGTCTGAGGGGAAGTAATAAGGATTATGCTCTCCATACAGTCTAGTTAATTGGTGTGTCTGTAATGTAACTCTCGTGCCTTCGGTTTTAACAACAAAAACAAAAGTATATGCTGTTTTCCCAGCCTAATGAATGCCTGTAAAACATGTAAATCATAAAATCATAGAATGGCATAGGCTGGAAGGGACCTTAGAGATCATCTAATCCAACCTCCCTGTCATGGGCAGGGACACCTCTCAACTATAAACACAAATAACAAATAACTTTGTATGCTAAGAAATCAAAGTGAAAACTTCCTAGTCTTACCAGAATAATGTAACATGTTCAATATTTTCTATGGGAAAATAAGAGGAGAGGGAAGCCTTGAAATCTGTATCTTGTTTCTTCTCATCTGCAGTAATTCTCTTTACTTGAATTTATGTATTTGAGGTGTAAGATTTGCTCTGTGTGTGCTTTCACATTTAATATTTCCTTAGTGTTTAAAAATTTAGAGAACTTCAGTGATGTTTTCTTAACTCCTGTAATAGTAAACTAAGCATCAGAAAATAGCACTAGAGTCAGGAGGTGCTTTTAACCTTTAGATTGTGATGTATAGCTCTGGTATTTATCCTTCTAGCTTTCACTGGATTTTTATTCCCTGCCTCCCGCATCAATGAATTTTTATTTTGGTCTCACTGTCCACCAGTCAGAAGTATTTTCTTACAGCAGAAATTTCTGCTGACATGTCAACTTCAGACTCTGTTACAAATAATAATAATTTGATGTCACAACTGCAGGTTCACAGCAAGGTCTTGCTTAAGACAGATAGTGGTGCTTGCTTAAGACAAGACTCAAGACAGATAATAAATAGATTAACTAGCTGTATTGCACAGCTCTAATTATGATGTTATCTACAAAACCAAGCTACTCAGGGTTCTATCTATATGGCAAAAAAAACCTGCAATTGATATCTTTACTGTTGATTCAAAGTGGCCCCAGAAATGCTGAGTCACATGAGTAGAGGATTGTGAATATAGCTTTGAATGTAACCATGCACAATTTCTTCTTGTTTAACAGTGCATTTTAGACTAGTCTTGCTTTCTAGATATTTTTCTTGCCTTGGATTGTTTGAAAATTGCTAGTTCTGTAAGAAAGATAAATACAAAGCTCTATTTGTGTTTATAACTGATTTTCTCTTTTTTTTTTCTGAACAGGAATGAACATCTGCACAGATGCTCTCAGTGCAAGGTTGCTAAATACTGTGGTAAATCTTGTCAGGTAAGATTAAAAATAACAACTATAAAGGGTTGAAGAAAACAGGCGTGTGAATACTCTGTTGACAGAGTGCCCGTGCATTTTGTGCGTTGTCATACCCTCACACTGCAATTTCTTATTTGTAATTAAGGACAGAGTGTGTAAACATGCCGCCTTGTTCAGTACTTTTTTAGTTAGAAGATTATAATCAGTGCAATAGACAAAACTGTTTGGCTCTGCTTGGTTAGAGGGGGAGGAATAATTCTTCAGCTTTGACTGTAGACTGAGGACTATAAGTCAATTTTGCAGTAAAACAATTTGTATTTCAAGAGTAATTTTTATCGTAGCAAAGTATACATTCCATTTTTTTAAGAGGAAATAAGGGTTAAGAACGTGCAGAGAAGTGAAGGCCTTGGGCAAAACTGCATCTCTGAGGAGGTTTTCAAGAAGATAGACCCAGGCTTTTCACAGTGGTGTGTGGTAGGAGGACAAGGGACAACGGGCCTAAGTTGAAAGAAGAGAGGTTCACATGAGATATAATGAAAAGCTAATTTCATCTTGAAGACAGCCAAGAGTTGGAACAGGCTGGCTAGAGTGTGTCATCTGCATGCTTTCAGGGTTTCAAGACCCCACTGGATAAAGCTCTGAGCTGGGTCTGAGCCCAGAGGTGACCCTGTTTTGCGACTAGAGATCTCTGTAGATCCCTTCGAACCTGAATTATCCTGTGATTTTATCCTATGAAACAGTTCTTAAAGATGTTCAAACCTAAAACCTTAGCTTTTCTATTTGGCTTGTATTGACGCTTACGCATGTGCCTGGGAGTTGGCAGGACTTGGTGCAGAGTGGACATGCAAGAGTAGATGACTGTTAGACCTTAACACACCAGAGAACCAGGCACCTGGGATTTGAACCATGAGGAATGCCTTACAGAACACTTGAATTTTTAAATGATTCCTTTTAGCTTTGCATTGTTGTTTCTGTTTTGTTTTCTAAATAGAGCAAAACGGAGAAAACCAACTAATGGTCCAAACAGACTAGTATTGATACTCTATTAAATGTATATGACTTTTAAAGAGATTAATGTGAGTAGCTGAACGAGGTTTGATATAAAGGTGGGCTTTGAAGGAAACTTCAAAGTAAATGCAGCAGGGATTTTCTATGTTAGGTGTACCAAAATAAGCCATTTTTAAATCCACAAATATCTTGTAAAAATCATCATTTGATTTAAAATGTCAGGTGGTTAAGAAAAACTATCTTTGGGCTAACCTATAGGAGAAGAAATAATCTTTTGAAAGATATTTCCCTTTTTGGAACTTACTGTGAGAATTGTTATCCTTTAAGGAGATATGTGGGCAGAGGCCAGGAGTCTTGCATAAAACTATATGGGAATTAGAGTTTCCAGTTTATCAAAATCTCCATAATGTCAATACTGAAGATTTTGAAGTGAGTTGTGCCAAATTTCAGAATTTTCCTCCCCCCCCCCAACCAGTTGAAGTAGTTTGCTTTAATTTTTACACTGTAATTTACTTAAAAAAATATTAGAAATGTAGGACTGGAAGTTATCACAAGAGATCCTTTGGGCTGACCTTTTTCAACAGAACTCTGATTTCGGGATCAAGTATATGTAGACCTTTTGCTTTTAAATGTGTTTTTTGGTTGCCCCTCCTTGACACTTGTCTTCCCACTTGTCGATGCCTAATTTCCTGGACCTGCCTTATAGCAGTGTCTGTAGTATAGTTGGCTGAGTGTCCCTCCAAATGTAGCATTACCATGTCTACTGCTCCTCATAATCACTGCTGTGATCTTTCCTGGCAATGTTTATTAATTTAGTGCATCCCATAGATTGGAGACCAGTGATACAGATGATAGTCCCTGACAAATAGCGGAGTCATTTCAGGCGGAATTCAGAATGTACTATCATCAAACATTATTGAAAGGGCTTAATTTAAGTAAAAAAAGAGGGGGAAAAATTAAAACAAAAGAAACTTTTTAAGAACGTCTTTTTTAACTATCCTTTGGAAATTACAAGTTGCATCTTTTTAACAAATCAAAACCTTCCAATGGAAAAATATCCTACTTCAAAAGTTTTTTTTATGAGCTCTAGTGTTTAACTGCTTTTCATTAGCACATTATTCTGCAGGAGGCATTTGGTTTTTTGACTCTACGTAGAAGACAAGGGAAACCTTCATTTCGTAAACATCGATTTAGGATCTTTCATAGGATTATGAACTGTTTGGAGACAGGAATAGCATATGTCTGTGCAAGAATGGATGCACATTAGCTCAGCTGAAAACATGCAAGACCTTACAGGCAGATGCGAGGGATCTCACAGGAGATAATTCTGGGCCTGAGTCATCCCATGAAACCCAGTGCTGCGTTGGTGCTTGTGTAGTGCTGGTTTGGTCGGGGCAGGCTCTCAATCTGCCACCAATAAACAGCTATGTGCTGTCCTGTCTCCTAAGCCATGTGAGTTCTGACCCTGGTCACTTGGCTGTAGCCTGTGGAATTGCACTTGGGATACATTGAGCTTGAATGAGAGGCAGTGATTTGGGAGGAGTTAAAAGGAGGGATATTCTTTCTGAGTTACTACATGTAGCGAAGTCTGGAGGAGGAGGGCTGAGTACTGCCCTGCCCTGTTCACTCATCTGTCTTTGCCTTCTTCTGTCAGTGTTCATTTCTAACAGGGAGGAAAAAAAAAATCTGTTGCAAAACTGGGAGACTTTCCTTGGTGGGGGGGTGAATGGTTATACCAGGTGGCCGTACCTCTGCACTGTAGTATTTATTTATACTCATGCTGGATATGTCATATAAAAGCTTGACTGAAAGCCAGGATACGCAAAGTTAAGAAAACCTCCCATGGAGAACTGTGGGACTAATATAAGCCCACCAATAAGTATTGTTAGAGACCAACTTTAAAAGTAGGTCTCTCCAGGGTCACAAATCTTCATGGTTTCAAATTTCGGAATTTGTATGCTTGTTGTATTAATAGCAAGAAGAAATATTGTTGAATTTTATTATACTTAATACGTTTGGAACTTTTTCCCCCTCTCCTTGGCCAGCTGGGAGGAAAAGAATGGCAGTCCCTGTTCCAACGTTCCTTCTGCAGAGGAGTCAGACAAATGACTTTTCGGCATCTGTTTCAGCCAAAGTCCTGTTTTGCAGAAGGTGTGTGTTTGAACTGCTCTTCTCATGTGGGAAGGCATCTCAAAGAAATGTGGCATATGATGCTATATGGTACTGCATATTTCATCTCATTAGGGCTTTATTGGTTGGGTAAGATATTAATCATTTTGATGTCACCTCTAGCATGTTTAAAATTCTGTGCTACATTTACATAGGGAAAAAATTTGACAGATAAAAGCTTACTCCAAAGAACAATTCTATATTAAGTGCGATAAAAATGTCAATATAGTTATATTACACAGAATGATATCTGGACGTTTACAAGCATGACCTTGTTTCTTCTAGACAAGAATAATTCTATTCAGCACTAGATACTTAACTTGTATTTGTCGGCTAGCATGTGACACTAACTGTATTTGGATTAATGCTGCCTTAGTGTCATTTTTTTCCCCCCTTGTAGAGTTATGGGTAAAGGAAGCGAAATCACAAATCTCCCATGTATCTGAAATAAATAAAAAGTCCAATTTATTTATTATGTGTACGCTAGAGGGAGCGGGGGGGGCGGAATGGAATTAAATAGAATAAAAGCTACTGGTGCTGAAACCAAGTTACCTGAAACAATTCCCCCACATAACGCAGCTTAAGAAAAAATTGTTTGATAGCCTTCATAATCTTTATAACTAACATGTCAGTATCTACAGGTGTGATGCACGCTTGCATATATTGCTGCTGTTTCCTCTTTTTTTTTATTGCTGAACATGTAATTTCTTTATATTAGATGTTTTATCATTTTCTGTGTGGCAGTTACCTAACAGAAGCTGGTTTTCTCAGTTCATTTTTTTTTTTCTTACTGCATATCTGTGAGAAAATGTCACCTTCAGAAGCTCTTGGTTATTCTGAATTCTTGTCACTGCAACAATTTTTTGTTGTGCCTGTTTTTTCAATTTACTTTTTAAAGGTATTTGAAATGGCAGAGCAGCTTCAAACATATACTGTAAATATGTAAATAAAATGTGTCAATATGTAAGTAAAATGTGTAAATTTGTACTATGTTAATGAGGCGGGCTTGGAGTTTTTGTAAATTAGAAACAGAATTTTCAGCTTGTAAAGACAAAAAAAAAAGGTGATAAGAAATTAACTATCTCTTCTGATGTGTTTCTTTAGCTGAAGACTCATTCTTGTTGCTCTTCCACACTGATTTGGGAGAGACAAGGAAGGGAAGGGGGGTAGAAATTATGTGTTTCAATATATAGCAGCTTTCCCTCACCTTGTCATCCTGTCTCTTCTCTGCTATGGAAGTGTTAGTCTTTGTCTGCTGCTCTAATAGAAGTGGCTCGTGAAACAAAATTTGCAGGTTCAGATAGTACATGCAACTGAAATATTTTTGGTTCTGTCTTTTGTTATGTTAGATGTTGGTTAGAGCGAGCATTCCTGGTCTGAACTGCGAAAATATCATCACCAGTCCTCTCAGCTGTGGGCATTAATGCCTCATCAGCTCAGAGATCTTTGGAGACGGTTTTTGCAGCATGGAAAACTTGACCATTGCTTTAGAGCAGCTACATTTTGGTGAAGTGGATAGACTTTGAAGCCCTCTGTGGTCTTGATTGCTGAGTGAATGCTTGTCTAGTGTACTTGTGTAAGTATAGTTGAGAAAATTTTAGCATCCCTTCTAGTTCTCTCCAACCTTGTGAAGTATGCAGCTCTATTTCTTTTAGCCACAATTAAATGAGAATCAGAGCCCATTTATTTATCAAATAAAAATTTCAGGTAGCTGGATGGTGATATCAACTTGAACTAAGCTGATGATGCTTTTTACAGCATGTTGCATAAAAGTAAAGAAAATGGGAACCATGGGACAAAAAATGAAGATATTTCTTGTAGATTTCTGTGCAGTTTTCTTTCTATCTTTACATGTTCCTTTTGTGCATTAAAGGCATCAGGTAGAATGCTTGAAAAAGTGTGGTATGAACTATGTTGTCAGACAGTAGCATGAGGCAGACTGAAATAAGGTTTGTATTGGCAAGGAACTGGACTGGCAACTTGACCATACAGTTTTTTGTTTGTGTTTCTCTTAGGTTTTCTTAAAGGTAAAGTTAAATTCTGGGGTAACCTAATGGTGATATTGTTGTGTCCTGAACCTGCACTGCTGTAGCCACAGTGTTTATAGTATGTTACACAATTAATTTGCTTTAGAGGAGAAATGGCATGATAGCGTTAGTTTTAGTGGGTAATCCAGCCTATCCCTTTCCACAACACTCATGTTATAGCTGCACTCTTAGACTATGCTGGTAAAGTGTGCGTACTGCTGTTATCCTTGGCAGTCAGCATTTGATGTTGCCTGTGTTGGAGGCTGCCACAGTCAGTGGACGTCAGTACCTAAGAAAGGTCCCCTTCCTGGTCCTTTGGAGCTGACTTTTCGGCTCTGCAGCCGTTCCTCCCAGCCCGACTCAATCGCTGTGATGGTATTGTGGTTCTGGATCTTCAGGTCCAGCCCATGGCGAGGCTGAGCATGTTTGCTCGTACGCATATATAAATATAAATAACTATATATAAAAAATGTGTGTACTTGCACCCCAGAAAGCCAACCATATCCTGGGCTGCATCCAAAGAAGCGTGGACAGCAGGTCGAGGGAGGTTATCCTGCCCCTCTACGCTCCCCTCATGAGATCCCGTCTGGAGTCCTGCGTTCAGCTCTGGAGTCCCCAACATCAGAAGGACATGGGACTGTTGGAGCAGGTCTAGAGGAGGGCCGTGAAGATGATCCGAGGGCTGGAGCACCTCTCCTCCTATGAAGACAGACTGAGAGAGTTGGGGTCGTTCAGCCTGGAGAAGAGAAGGCTCTGGGGAGATCTTCTTGCAACCTTCCAGTACCTAAAAGGGGACTATAAGAAAGCTGGAGAGGGACTTTTTACAAGGGCATGTAGTGATAGCACAAGGGGCAATGGCTTTAAACTGAAAGATGATAGATTTTCATTAGATCTAAGGAGGAAATCCATCATTCTGAGGGTGGTGAGACACTGGAACAGGTTGCCCAGAGAACTTGTGGATGCCCCATCCCTGAAAATGTTCAAGGCCAGGGTGGATGGGGCTTTGAGCAACCTGGTGTAGTGGAAGGTGTCCCTGCCCCTGGCAGGGGGTTTGGAACTAGATGATCTTTGAGGTCCTTCCAACCCAAACCATTCTATGATTCTATAAAATATATGTGTATTTATGTAAAAGATAGGATATATGGTATGTAAAATAACATGCAGTTTTTTTTTCTCTTCCTTTTAAAAAAATCCTAATAGAAAGAAGCTTGGCTGGACCACAAGCGGGAATGCAGGTGTCTTAAGAGCGTTGAGCCTAATTTTCCTCCAGACTCTATCAGACTTGCTGGCAGAATTGTTTTCAAACTAGTAAGTGACATTCTCTTAGATTTATTTAGTGTAGCAGATTCAGATAAATACTTTTTCACTCTACATTTTTAATGTAATTAAGAGCTAAAAAGCTGAAGTGACTGGGATTGCTGAACAAAATTGGACTGCATATTGCATTACAAGATTACTGATTAATTTGCAGAAAAGCTGAAAGGATTGAGAGATACTAAAATGGACATAATTAAGCTCAAGGGACCTGTTTATCGACTTTCTCTTCCTATGACTATGTGGCACCATTCTAAACTTATTTCTGCCTAGAAAGAAAGCACAGAGGGACACTGTTTTTACTTTGATACTGCTGGAGTTATTGATGCTTTTCCATTAGCTTCACTGGGAACCTCATTCAGCCTTATTTGAATGAGTGATAAGGACAAAAACACTGTTAGCTAGCCCTTCCTTTAGAGGGCATAATGCTGTGCTTTCAATCTTGAGTTTGCTTAATCTCAGTTAAATTGTATTTTTTTTCTTTTTCTAAACTCTCTTGGAAGTCATGGGTGTTTGACATTCCCATGATTTGATTAATTTATGTGGGCTAAATTTTCTGTTAGGTTAAGCAGTTTGACTGTGTGGGATTGTAAATCAAAAAGTATTTGCCCATTTTTTTGCTGACTCTGCCATCATGCTATTTGTCTTGGATAAAAACGTGTGCATTTGTTGTGGTCTAAGGTGATAAAATATGATTTAATATCTTAATTTATATGTTGTTGGGAAGAGCGAGATTGTTTTTAAAGGGCAAATATGTACCTAGCTATACTGCGCATTAATTATAGTCACATGAAATCTGAGACTGTTACCTCATAAATTGCTTTCAATTATAGTGTGAAGGGCCCAAGTAAATTACTAAGGGTAAGCTGCTGAAGTGTTAAAAAAAAAAAGGAAGAAAAGAAAGTGTCATAACACCAACAAAAATTTAGTGTTTTTATGATAGTTTACAGAAAGTATGGAATGACCAGATTTATGTTGATGCTGTTAGCCTTACCTAATTGTCTTACAGGCATATCACACTGAACAATCAATCTTGTAGAGTGTTTTGAAGATAAAGCGTGCTATGTAAGTGTTAATATGTTTTTCTCTACAGCTTAGACAATCAGTATGCCTTTCTGAGAGACTCTACTCTTTTTCCGATCTTCAGTCAAGTAAGTAATTGCCAACCACATTGCAGGAAGTGCTTCTAAGTTCTGCTTTACAGAATGGACATCTAATTTTCTTGCAGCTTGGTTTCTGAAGGTCTGCTCTGTTGAATAATAGAATCAGACAAAACCTGCTAAAACCTCTGTGGGGAAGAACAGGTTTTTTTGGAGATGAAAGGAAAAAACTTGTGTGTCTTGTTCAAGCAAAACTTCCACCTGATTTTTTGGCTCCAATACTTTTTCTCATTTTACAGTGTACATCTTGACTATTCAGTTTTTAATTTACCTGATGTCTGCCTTATTACATACAGTGCCAATATTTTTATATACATACACAAAAATACATATATTTTTACATAAAGGTTTTACTTTTTTAATATATGCGTGCTATAAATATATAGCATATAATATATGCGTCTATTGCATAAAGCTTCCAAATAACTTCCAGAAAAAGGAAAGAAATCTGAAATTTGAGGGATATGTTTGTTTTTCTTCTACATGACTTTTCATAGAGGAAAAAACAGATAAAATTGCAGAGATATTATTTTTGTGGTTTCACAAGTTTCAACTGCTTGTTTAGTAAAGGATGCTCATTATAATCTCCTAGCAGAGCTAATGTTGAAATAGAAAACATTTTTTCCACATTTTGCCATAGCTAAAGGTTAAAGACTTATAAGGGGAAAAAAATAAATACGTAATTCATTCCTGCATCTCACTTAAAGTGATTTTCTGGAGTAGTGTGAATATTTTGATTACCTCAACATTTTTTTAGTGTTATTCAGAGCTTTGGCTATAAACCAGCTTGATCTATTGATATAGTTAGGTAGAAATAAAAACCACAAAAACGTGAATAAATATGATAACTAGTATTCCGCGTTACTTATGTACATCCTGACATTCTGCTGCCTTCTCCTAAACTGCAAGGGCAAAACACCTTAATAGGACAATAAATTCAAAAGGATAGAGGGAATGCATTTCAGTAATTCAAAATATTAGAATTTTATGCCATGGACATTCTCAAATTGTGTAACAAATGTTTATGGGACATTAGAAGAGTTTTGCTTCTGAAGCAAAAAACTTCTTAGGAAGCATCTGTGTGATAGAAAATAGTGTTTCAACACTAATCAGAAATATGACAGATAGAAAGAATTCTAATTGATACCTTTTTTAATGTGGTGTGGTGTTTTTTTTTTTTTTCCCTGGAAGTCAAAAATATTTGAAAATTGTTATTGTTACTATGCTGTCTCAGTCTCCTTTACACTATTACTTTTCAATGTTACTTTATATAGTTGAGTGGTTTTCAGAGTGAGTGACTTATATAAACTGAATAAAAGAAAATAAAAGTTTTATACACTTATCAAATAATTATCTGATAAAATAGGTAATACATATATTAAAAAAAACCCACCCACCCACATATGGAGGCATCTAGCCCTTTATAAAGCTCTGTTCCCAGCTCCATAATTCTTTCGTGCTCATTGTGCAACCTGAAACTCAGATTAAGTAGGACAGGTGTCTGTGTGCATTTTTACTTTTGCTAGTTCTCATTTATTATAAGACAATTCCTTACTTACATGGTTCTACAGGCTTGCTATCTGTTACAATCATTCAGAAATCAGCTTTGCTTTTACTTACCAAGATTCAGTATGCAGAAAAGCATTTGTGTGCTGTACTGTGGGCAGACTTTTTGCTGCTTTACACTGGTATCAGCGTCAGAGCTGCATAACTAAATCTCCATGTCTTATGTAGAAAACTTTCCACAAGCCTTTTGTAGCATTTTCCTTCCCACACTGTAGTTCTTAAACAATTGCAAGAAGTTTCTTAAAAACACAAAATGGAAACATTCACAAATTTCGTTTCACTTTGCTTTTGGCCTTGGCTGCTTGATATGCTGTGATAACCAGGTCTTGATCATTTGCCGTTAAAGATCCTGTGGGACTTTTCGCTGGGATTGTTAGCTCTGATGTCCTGGACAGATTCCAAGATAGATAATTGCATTCTGCTCCCATCTCTGTCAATTCTCCCTGAATTTACAGTTGGACTTGGTATTCTTGTTCACATCTGTCCTAAACTGCAGCATTCGTTTATACTGTGCTACTTAAACAATTCCTCTCCTCCATTCTAGAGGTGTTTTATTTGCTAATAGTGAGGCAAATCATGCCTTTCTCTCTTTGTCATAATACATTTTGCAATGTATGTCAGGTAGTTTAAGATGAATTACATGATGTCTTGAAAAATTACATTTTAAGGAAAAAGCATCCTTAATTTCAAAGGAATATTACATAAGAAATGCAAGTGTATGCTTATGATTTAAAAAAAAAACCTTAAATTTGAGTTTTGCAGTCATCTGAAAGCTTGCTGCTTTTCTTGAAGACACAGTCCTTATAAATATGATGCTTTTTGGTATCAGAGATTTCCATACATAGTGAAGAGCACACGTCTGGATTTCTAACATGTACGTTCATTCAGGCTTGCAAATTCTCCCTCAAATGTCTACATGTTTAAGATGCACGTGGGTAGCACTGTGGGTAGCTATGAAAAGGCAAATACTTTGGTTAATTAGACTTTGTGCCGGGTATGGAGGGGCATATCTCAGCATTCGTAGTACGAACCAGTTTGAACTTTGTGAGGAACTGAATCTGATTGCTCTGGGACAGGATGTCTCTCCTTCCCTAACCCTAGTAGGGACAGACTACCCTTAAGATTGCTCTGGAGTCATTGCTTGCTCAGCATGCTGCAGATTCACCTGAGGCATGGCTTGTAGATGGCGTTTTGTCAGCAATGACCACTGGCATGGGAGCAGATCTTGGAAAGTGTTACTTTACACCAAAACGGAAGCAATATGCGATAGATAATAAAGATGCTTCTTGAAGTCTGTATGTGGCATGAGGAGAGGTATGTTTGCCATAATATGGTGTACTGGTATGACTTCATTGAGCTAACCAGGGTGGCCTTCAGTGGCTTCAGAGAAAGTCTAAATAGAACCTAAGAGTTTGCACATGAGGAGACACATACCAGCCCAGAAGCAAATTGTAGATGGTTCCACTGGAAGACTCGTGGCTGATAGCTGTCCATGTGTACCAGCCATTTTAGTATGCCAGTGTTTAGTGCTCTGCCAGAATTAATTCGTAGGAGATTATTAAAGCAGCTCACTTGTGGTGTGTGTGAAATGAAAACTCTGTGATAGACAGTTTACAACCTACAAAATAGCCAGTACCTTCAAGCAGAGGGATGCACAGAAGCTCAAGTATCAGACACACTAGACAGCTCTTAAACCAAACCCAGTGACATCTGCTTTAAGTGGATCCTCTTTTTAAGTGAGTGACTAGGAGTTAGCTTTGAAGAGGAGAATGGATCTTGAATTGTCCTTCCAGGAAGCCATCAAGCTTAGATCCAAAGTACAGAGAAGAATCTTTCTTGCTAAAACACTATTTCTATTCCCATTAAGGATAGACGTTTACAGTAAAATAACAATTCACCATTATGCAGAGATGAAATTGATTCATAGTGCATAATAATCCTCTTTGTTATAGTGCTTGAATTTATTCACCTTCGCATTCTCCATTTAGGTCTTAATTTTGTGCTAACTGGCAGGAAAAAGAAAATATGAAGCAGGTAATCAGGCACTGAACTTACTAGGGCAGCTGAGTTTCAATTCCATGTTGTCAGTGACCTGATGCATGCGTGATCAGTTCATTAGAAAGCAAGGCAATATATTTCTTTCTGCTTCAGGATTCCTATCCGTAAAGCATGAATAATGGTGCTTTAGTATTTAACAAAGTGATATTTGCTTAATATTCTTCCATATTCATTCTGTTTACCAGCTGTTGTGTACAAAACTACCTTTGTCTCTAAAATATCTTCCTTTTTGATCTGTGAGCATAAAGTGTTTCTGACGCATCTATGGAGAACGCAATATAAAAATACACACTACTGCAAGGAGGAAGGCACTGCTGCGTAAACCTTCAAGCACATTTTTAATGTTACAAACCCAGATGCCTGATTTTTGTATGTAGTGTGTTACATCTGCATACGCATCCGCTTTATCTATCGGCTTTTGATCTTTAACTCACCATTGTATTCATATGATTTGGCAGTAGCAACCTGATAAATTCTTCTGTGTGTTGATAGGTAGCTGTCACAAAAAATGACAAATGTCCAACCTCTGTCAGAATTGCCCTCTGTCAAGATTAATTCTGGAACTGCAAAAGTCTAGATTGTATGGCTGCCATTGGACGTTTTCAAAATGTTGGCGAAAGATCCTGTTTACGACATGGTATGCTTTTTTTTCCCTTCCCCTTAAGATATTGAGCAGTTAAGTGAAGAAATGAAAGATGGCCTCAGGCACCTTGCGCAGACGTTGCAACTGTATTTGAAAATGGAGATCCAGGATGCGTCTCACTTGCCACCTGCAATTGACTTTTTTCAGATCTTCACAAAAGTAAGTGTTAAAACGTGATTGCTTGACAACTCATAAATTATCCTTTCCTTGTGTTCTTGATTTATTTTTGAGTGGGAGTTCAGTAGATAAATCCAGAATGTGATATATGACAAAGTGAAATCAAACTATTATTTTTTTATATTCAGTCAGTATTTAAGCTGAAGTATAGCTTTTATATAATTGTAACACTTCAAAATTAAAGCAGCAGCCAGAGGATGTTTTTTCTTTTCCCTTTTTAAATTATCATGTTAAAGCTCTTGGAAGAAAAAAAAGAAGGTTGTGTTAAAAACCAAGCAAGTTCAAAAACAATTGAGTCAATCAATTTAAGTAATTTTTTCAGAGTGATAGAAAGCATATAGCATCATTCTTCAGCCTAGAATTTTTCTGCAAAGTGCAATATCTTATATTTGCAGATATACTCCTACTCCACTTTGTCATTTTGTTGTCTGTGTGAATGGGTATTCATGACAGTACTGTATCCCACAAACCGCTTTCTCAGGAATGATGTGGATCATCTATTCTAAAGGGCTGCATGTAAAGTACTTGAAATTAATTTTCACAATATGTAAAATGTTTGTTATGTTACTAACTAAATGTTGTTGGCTTTTGCTGTACGTGTTTAATTGCTTTCAATTCAGAAAGCTTCATTTGACCAATGCTAGCAGAAGTACTTCATATGAAGAACACTCATAGCTTTAACTTGATTTAATTTTTTATTTCTAATTGGTTGATAAATTCTAATAAAAGATTTATCTTAATTCTTGCATGTTTTAATAAGTATTTTCTTATGAAGTAAATGAAGTTCTTAGATGTTTTTCTTCTGATGTAGATAAAAGGAAGAGCCTCTTGTAAAGAAATTAAATAAAAATGCAATATATGTATTTTTACACTTTTTTAACCTGTTTGCACAATTCTGGAATCTTTTCTGCTATGGACAGAACGAATAGGAGTAATATAATCAACTGTGGTATTTTTCTGGATTTTTTTAAACTGATGATTAATCTGCTCTGATGTAAAGTTGCAATTGTCCCTGAAAAACTGTGCAGGCTGAAGTATACCCAGTCAAAAAGAGTCATAGATAAAAACGTTCTGCACTACCTACTCTCCACTCAAACTGTGTTACTGTCTTGTGTTGCCATACTGATTTGACCTGAACTTTTTCAGATGCATTTCACATGAAATATGCATGCTGTGTTATCTGGTTTAGAGAATTTTTACAGCTGAAGGTAAAGCTGAGTATCAGAAGATGATCACTGCCTAACCGGTTTGAACTGAGTCACAGCTTGTAAGAAATTGTTTACAAATATTGCTGCCTTCTATGTAATAATAAGCTTAAGATGGAGGCTGGCTGTGGTGGCTTTACAGGAGCAGTCTGATGGTTGCTGAATGTATTGGAGCACTGCTGAAGAAAATAAGGAAGCTTTTAAAATTTATGTACGCACATGCACAAGCATCTGCACATATGTGCACCTCCTCTTCCCTCCTGTGTATTTTACCAAGGTGATGCAAGTGGGTATCAAGGGGAGAGTGAAAGTCAGGACTTCCCAGATCCATATCCTGTTAACTGGATAACTAGGAATGCTCCTTTTAATTATATTTGTCCCACTATAGTTTTGCTATCACAAAGATATTTTTAACCCAACGTATTCCTTATATTGACTGTGAATTTGTCCCTACTCTATTCAATGTACTGCGAAGTATGGAGGTTTTCAGTTATTGTTGCTTCCCCTTTCCCCCGAAATTCAGAGGCTTTCAGACCATTAAATGTAGATGTCATTTCCCTCTTTTGCTCTTATTACTAAGTCTGCGTGATAGTCTGCTCTAGGAAAATGGAGAGTAAATGGCATAGAAATATCATGGATACAGATACAATATCACTAATAATAAAAGGAATTGAGAGAAGAATCTGACTGAACAGGTGCATTGGTTGGGAGAAAGGAGCTGTTGACTAAATGTAGCCATATGCTTTACATTTAGGTAAAATTATCTCATTTGGAGTTCCGTCAAGCACTATGCTTTTTGGAAAGCTCTATTGTCACTCTCTAATACTCCATATAGTAATTTATAGCCTTCCCAATTATGGTTGTCGGATGAGTGTGTTATGAAGTATGGCACTATATTAAAATATGATTTTAATATGCCCCCATCCCTAGTGAGATAGCAGCATGCATTTTCTGCCACTGTCGTAGAATGCTTTTGGTAGATAAGCTGAATGTACTGTGGTGTGTGGTCTTTTGTTTTCTTTTTTCCCCACAAGCTGAATAGGGATACTTATTCCCAGCAGGTAAAGTTTGAGACTTTGGAACTGTGAATCTCTGGTAAGACTTCCGTGGTCTCTTCTCTGTAGTGTAACTCTAAAAAAGACTGGATGTGATGACTTCTCTGTGTGGTCATTGTACAAAGAAATACGACAGTGACATGACTTCAAGATGTAATCTTGTTTTGCCAAGCTCTTCCAACATTCCTTTTAAGTTCAGTAGGTGCTATTCTAACATTGAGCTTTTTTGGATCAATTCTTTCATTGCATGCCACAAAGATCCAGTCAAAGGTCATTTTTTTTATTCTATTTGATGCTGGATCCTCAAGAAGGAAAATAATCAGAAAGCCAGACAAAAGAGAAAAACATTCCTGCAGTGAGATGACTAAATTCCAGATAGTTCTTGGAAAATCTCCAACCTGATCCAGGTCAAAAGAGCTTCTCAAAAGCTCTTTTAAACAGTCCTCCTCCTCTGCTGGCCACTGCTCTTGTCTTTGTGAAAATTAATTACAGTTTTTATTCACTTGCTTGTGACGCTCAAGTGGCAGAGAATCCCCTTGAGTGCAAACTTGTGGAAACTTCTCGTTGAAAATCAAAGAAAATTTTGCAACTTCTTTCCAGAAGAACAGAATGGAAATACATTCTTTCCATGGGAACAGAATGTATTTATTCACCCCAATGTATTTTTAGTTTGCATAAGACCTGTGGAAAATATCAGCACTACTGGATGAGGAGGTGTTTCAGAAGAGTAACGTACCTTCCTTTTTGACAGTGTTGCCCTGTCTTTGCTAGGCAATTTGCTTTTGTATCAACTGTCCTTTGAGCTAGAGTTGTATTTTTTTTTTTTTTTCTTTCTTGCTGTCTGATCACTCTTCGGATGCTTCAGTTTATTTAACATGCCATTTATCAAGGTTGTGACTGTTTCTAAATTCTGATCCTCAGTATTAAACAGAATTATCTGCAGTTAATTACATGATAAGGCTTGAACTCCACTGAGACATTTTCTAATGTCAAGATAAATTTCTGACACCATGGTTTTATGGTTTAATGATGTTTCCATAACCTTGAGATAAAATCAGTCCTTGCTTTTTATTCTTCAGCTTTTACTTACATGTGTGAGGAGGTGGCCTGGAATTCTGTGAGACATTTAATGGATGCGAGATAAAGAATTAAAAATTTTTTTAATTTATTTATGGTTCTTTTCAGAATAGCAGACATAACTATGTAAACTACTTGAGGCATTGAAGGAATCAACTGTAAAACTGTGACTCAGGAAGGAAAAGGCTGGAATCAGGCCTAAGAAGTCTCTTTTTTTAGACCAAATGTAGACTTGGTGACTTGAATAGAATTGCAACTACTCATACCATGTCAGAATTGACTTTTGGAGCATTTTGAAAGTGTCTGAAAACTTTTTTTTTTCTGCAATTAAGGAAATGAAGAGATTCTGATGTTGGAAAAAATGGTAGCCGTTTTTAAAAAATCTCCTACTTTCAGATTCTTGAGTTTATAAAAATAGTAAGTTATATGCAACCTCTGTCATTAAATAGCAATAAGGTAGAATTCAGTGATAGTTAATGAACTGTAACATGGCAGACTTCTAGAGCAGTTTAGTACTCTTAAAATAGAGTTTTATTGGAAAATAAAAGATTTCTAAAGGATGTTTTGATGAAACAGTTGATAGCAAACTTTTAGGAAAAGGATGCTGGATTGAAGACTCTTGGGAACCCCATAGAGCAGAGATGATACTTTACTCCTGAAATATCAATGTCCCTATTTCTGTTGTGCAAAATTTCACTTTCTGGACAGTATCTTAACTGCACGTGGAGTGATATGGATTAGAGAGATAATTTTTTGCTTTCTGAAAGTTTTAATTTTTTCTGCAGTTCCAATCTTGCCACTTTTTTCTTATGAGCAGGTTCTACTTTGAAAGTAGATGTACTGCTTTCATTCAGCTCACTGGAGAGGTCACACACCTGTATATGTGTGAGATGAATATGCCTCTTTATGCAGGTGATGTGCTGCCCACCACTCTCTTCTCAGGGGCTGTCCTACTATTTACTTTTCAGGTCAGTTTAGAATTGACACAGATCAATGACAGTGAAAACATATCTAAGTAAGCATAGAGCTATAAATCTAGGATAAGATGAAAAAGAAAGTCAGTATCCATATACATTGGAATCACATGTGTATCTTTTATATGTCAGACTATTTTTTTTCTACCTCATTTTTTTTGAGGTTTGTGAAGTTAAAATTGAAGTGAAGAAGAGACAAAAGTTCGATGCTGTATGCTAGTCTCTGTGTACCCACAGACAGCTTTAACCAAAAGACCAGTTTTCTGTTTAGGCTGTGATATAATTGATTTTATTTTTAACTTAAGTGAGGAGGCTACTGTAAAGTGCAGAGGTACATCCCTCAAGAGATGAAGTACCCTGGTCTCTTTAAAATCCTTTGTTTGTTCCTCTTATCAAAGTTTAAATATATTTTACTGTTCTTATAAGTTTTCAGTACTTGATTCCACTCAATGTTTTGAAAGAGGTTTTTTTCCAACATGAAGGGTATTAGTACCAATTTAAAAAAAACTTGTTAAAGAGGTTTTGATATGTATCTGTATAGGTAGAAGAGAACTGGGAGTTGAGCAGTGTCACTTGGCCTCTGAATACTAAATTATGGTAATGTATTTGGGTATCTTTTTAAGTGCATCTTGAAGGAAATTGTCTTAATTATATGACTAGAAGAAAGTATGTTTGATCTTCACATTGCT